ATTCCATTTTTTTCACCATGGATGAGCTATTCTTGATTCATGTTGTGCTAAATTATACTCGCCCTAGACTCTTGGTTTCAACTGTATTAAATATTTTATTTTTTCAATATGTTTTGTTTTTAAAGTTCGGAAAATGAAAACATCTTTTTCAATCAATGATATTCAGAAGCAGAAATGGCGTTTAAAGCTGCTGGTTTGCTATCATAAAAAAAAAAAGTTTCCTAATGCACTAAAATTCAAAGGAGTACATCATACAATAAAAATTTCTTCCAGAAAAAGATTTAATTTTAGATATTTAACACTTCCTAGATTGTCGTCCCTTTAGTTTTTGGAATGAGTTCTGGATTAGACATGTGATACATATAGAGGTTATAACTTGTTAATGGGGGGTTGTAGACAAATGCAGGGATAAATTTTCTTTACCTAAGCATCAGTTTTTAATGTGGTTGTGGTGAAAAAGTAGATTGCTAATAAAGGTAAGGTAAGGTAAAAGTAGATCTAGGAGTATGGCATGGAAAAGATTAGACAAGTAAGAATTTAGTAAGTGGATCCAATATGAGTTGAAGAAGTATATCAATGCTAAGATTAAGTATGTATGTGAGATAATAGCATCAAGAGTAGTGTTTCATGACCATTGGAGTTTGTTGGATGTGTCTATCATGTATCTGGACTTGGTGGGATTAATAATAGTACACATTTTCAAAAAAAAAAAGAAGATAGATATGATGAATAGATTAATAGTGAATATATATGATGTGATAAGTAGATTTATTATTAGTAGGGGTAAAAGATATATTTCAAATGAAAGTGAAAGTATTTTTTGGTACTGATGAAAAATGAAAGTGGAAATTTCTTAAAACATGAGTAGTTTATAAATCTAAACACGCCAAAAAGTTATGGGTGGAGTTTAAACCCGACCTATTAATAGAACTAAATGCAATACCTAAGCATTTGCACTTTCTATTCGAAATGCTTTTCATTAGTGTTACTCCATATCTATAAATAATGGCAACGCAGAAATGGAATGCCACACGTTGACATAGTACATTTTAATCAATAAAAAATAGTCTAGTCACACAATGACGAGTGAAGTGGCATATCCTGCAATGACATATCATTGTTTTTTGACTTTCATATTTTTTAATGTATTTTAATTTTAAAGATTTATTTTAGTTATACTCCGTATATTTTATCATTAAAATACTTTCAATCCCTTTTTTTATATTAAGTATTGGATATTCATCAAATTCTTATAATTACTAAAATAAAAAAAATTGAAATCCTAATTAAAAAGGATTAGATGATATGTACGGTAACATTACTCCATTGTTTCCTTCATCTCGTATAGAATCATCCATGTCGTGCTAGCTAGAGCCGTCCACCACTTCTGTTACTTCCGCCAGAATCTTGTCGCCGTCAACTATCATCGATTGCCTCAGTCCACGTTAAGATGACCCAGAATTCAGTGCCCATCATCCCTCTGTTTCAAATCTTGGATCCCGTCGACAAAAAGATGAGTGGAAAAAGAAAATGCCTTGCGAATGACACGGAATGTGGGGTGGAACGCGCATCAAAAAACACAAATAAATATAAATTCCCGTGAAGTTGGAATGGTGTTTTGGGAAGAAAGTTTTAGGACGGAGAGAGTACTTTTAAGCAATGTATACTCTGAGTATTTAATGTTACATACTCAGTATAAAGTACTCTGTGTTACAAAAGACCTTATTGTAGTAGTGATTCGAACTACTTCCTTGAATTGTTTTTTTCCGCTCACCAGGTACTTTACAAAATGTCTCTACTGTAAGAGACCCTAATAGATTATACAATGGGGAGTGAATTCGCCCCACTCTTGTCACATCAGGATTCTATTTACTTTTCACCCACTCCAAAATCCTGCAATACTATCGCCCGAAAATTTGTCTTTTCATTTCTTTTACGATATTCATTATTTTTCATTCACAACTTATATAAATTTAATATAAATATTTATTTATTAATAAAAATAGATAAATAATAATAAATAAAATAAAAGTAATAAATTCAAAATGAAAAAATAAATAAAAAGATTAAATTAATTAAATATTAATTGTTATAATTAAAAAATAAAATTGAAATAAAATGAATCAGTGCCAAGGAAGGAAGAAGAACTAGAGCAAAACAAAAAAAAGGAATTGGGCCACGGCGGACTGTTGCAATGGGTGACCGCTACAATGGGTGACTCAGCCATCACGCCCACCGGCGTGAAGACCATTACCAGTGCCCTTAGTTTAAAATCAATCTCCACCTCGTCTTCTTCTCCCTCACAATTATTTCCGACTAAAAATTTCCCAAACCCTTCGACTCCCCGTGAAGGCTTCTTCTTCTTCTCCACCATCATCTTCACCATCACCTTCACACCACCACCATCTTCACTGCTCCCCCGCTGCTCCTGTACTGCATTCTTTTTCCGATCAAACACACCTAGGGTTTGACTCGATCGCGCTCCATTTCCGCCGGCTGTACTCGATTGCGCTCCACGCTAATTTCCGCCGGTTGTACGATTCTTCCCGTACGCTAATTTCCGCCGGCTGTACAGTTCTTCCCGTACAGCCGGCTGTACGATATAATTTGTGCTTTTTGGCAGTCTAGGTCCAATTTTATTTAGCCGGTTACTATCAAACTTATCTAAGTGTGGTTGTTCTAGTTGCATGCGCACAAATTATGCTCTCCCAATATGACTAGAAAAAAAAGCAAGATTATAATTTTTTTCAATTTACTTTATTTAAAAAATGAAGTAAAATTGAATATTAAAATTTACGTGAAAAGTTCTAGTTCCTCCGTTCCGTAAAACTTTTGAACTTTCACATCTTGTTTATTCCATAAAATATTTCAATTTGAGCTCAAACATAATTGTCTTTTGTTTTTTTAAATCTAACCGAACATATTTCAACTACCTTTTACACCCTATCTATTTTGACATTTCCCGAGCCCTACTGTAAGAATTATTTGGGAGGAAATTCTCTGTATTTCTCTCTTGTATTTACAATTTATAATGAGGACATATATATAGGATCTCACAAGTTGAGACTCCTAATAAGTAAAGGAAAAGGAAAAGGAAAGAATCCCTATACAAGGAAAACTACCAAAACAATATATACACAAATATCTCCAAATATTCTACCAACTATTCTCTTTCCTTTAACACCCCCTCAAGTTGGAGCATGAAGTAACGAAATGCCCAACTTGGGAAGAAGAAACTCCAAATGTGACTTTCAGAGTGCCTTGTATGAATGTCTGCAAGCTGATGCGTAGTAGGCACATGAAGTGTACGAATCTCTCCTCGGAAGAGCTCATCACAAACGAAGTGACAATCAATCTCAATGTGCTTCGTGCATTCGTGGAAAACCGGATTAGCAGCAATGTGAAGTGTTGCCGTGCTGTCACACCGGACCGTCATGGGGTCCTTATGCTCAACCCCTAAACACCGCAAAACATTCTTCAACCACTTCAACTCACATGTAAGGACAACCAAAGCTCTATACTCTGCTTCAGCAGACGAGCGAGCCACCGTCGATTGCTTCTTTGTTTTCCATGAGACAGGCGAGTCTCCAAGCTGCAAAAACCACACTGTCAATGACCGCCTCGTCAAAGGACATGTTGCCCAGTCCGAATCACACCATCCTGTGAGTTGAAGACTACTCTCTGCTGACAGAAAAATGCCTTGATCCTCCCTTGGTTCCTTCAAAAACTGTGTTAAAGTTTGGACGGCGTAAGAAAGTTCCGGTCGTGTAACGGAGAGATAGACCAACCTTCCTACCAACCGTCGATATGGTTGTGGATCTGCAAGGACCGGGGCTTGGGAACGAGCCAAGTGATGATTTGACTCCATCGGGGCACCCAACAGCCTGGCACCTAACAACCCCGCCTCAGTGATGATGTCTAAGGCTTACTTTCGTTGGCAGAGAAAAATCCCAGACATGCTCCTCGCCACCTCAATGCCAAGAAAATATTTTAGTGTTCCCAAGTCCTTCATATGAAAACAATCTCCGAGATAGGCTTTGAACTTGCTTACCATCTCTGTTCTATCTCCAGCAATAATCAAATCGTCAACATAAACCAAAACATGTATGAGTCCTTTCTTTCCAACAAAAGAAAATAAGGAGTAATCAGCAACAGATTGAACAAACCCATAGCGTTTTAAGGCTCCAGACAACTTGGCAAACCAACACCTTGGAGCTTAGTTTAAGCCATACAGAGATTTCTTGAGTTTGCACACCACATTAGATGAATTCGAGAAACCAGGTGGCAATCTCATATACACCTCATCCAGTAGATCTCCGTGTAGAAATGCATTGTGAACATCCATCTGATGCAATCCCCACCCCTTAACTGCTGCAATTGCTAAAAGCGTTCTCACAGTGGTCAACTTGACTACAGGAGCAAATGTTTCTTTGTAGTCAAGTCCTTCAACCTGATGATTGCCAAATATAACAAGTTTGGCCTTATATCTCTCTGCACTTCCATCGGACTTGCGCTTGATCTTATATACCCATTTGCAACCAAGAGGCTTTTTATGGCGTGGAGGAGAGACAAGAGACCACGTCCTGTTAGCCTCCAGTGCATCAATCTCCTCTCTCATAGCCTTCCTCCATCGTTCATCCAAGAATGCCTTCTTGAAACTTGTGGGCTCAACTTCAGCATCAAGTGCGCTGAGAAAACACTTGTGTCTGTCAGAGAACTTCTCGTGTGTGACATACGAGGCAAGAGGATATTTGCATTTTTCACCAACATGTGAACTAGCTACATGGGTAACATAATCGGCAAGGCGTACATTTGGACGTTTCTCACGTTGACCACGTCCCAAGTTCTCCACCGCCTACTAGGAAGGGGACGGTCGACCGCCGTCCGTGGAATGGTCCACGGGGTCGACCGTCTGAAGCTGTTCTGGATCGCTAACTTTCTGCCTCGGAGACGGTCGACCGTCTTCCACATCACGGTCGACCGTTTGATCATCTCCCAAAGAAACGTCATTCTGCCTTGCAGACGGTCGACCGTGGATATCAGAACGGTCCACCAGGTCGACCGTTTGGTCATCTCTCTGGAACCCGTCATTCTACCTCTTGGACGGTCGACCATGGACATCCGAATGGTCCATCAGGTCGACCGTCTGTAGCCTGTCCGCTCTACCGCTATCCTCTGGTCCACCGTCCATCCTGGAACGGTCCATCTGTTCTTCCATCCGTGTTTCTTCATCTTCATCATAAGAGCTAACCTCATTTGTACTTCCTGTATCAAGAGATGCACCTGTAGGAGTCAAGAAAGGGAAAATATTTCACAAAACACAACATCTCGGGACACCTTAATTTCCCCAGTGTCCGGGTAGTAAATACGCCATCCTTCTTCCCTTGTGGATATCCAACAAATATTCCAGGATTGCTTCTTGGTGCGAATTTATCTCCATTCCTCTTTAAGTTATGAGCAAAACATCTGCATCCAAAAACACGAATATGAGCCAAAGAGGGTGGCTTTTCATATATCTTCTCGTATGGTGTAACCCCCCCCCCCCCTAACAAAGATGAAGGTGTGCGATTGATCAGATGTGCGACGGTCTGTATACACTCTCCCCAGAACTCAATCGGAAGACCAGCCTGAAACCTCAAAGCCCGACCCACATTCAAAATGTGTCGGTGCTTGCGTTCTACTCTCCCATTCTGTTGTGGAGTAGACACACAAGACATTTCATGAATAATTCCTTGCTCCCAGAAATATTCGTTTAGACATTCAAATTCTGTGCCATTATCACTGCGAACACACTTTATTTTCTTCCCAAATTGTCGTTCTACCATAGCACAGAATTGTTTAAAAACAGTGCCAACCTTACGTTTGGAATCAAGCAAATGTACTCAAACACCTCTTGAAAAATCATCCACAATGGTCAAGAACATTGTAGAACCATCAAAACTTGGAGTCCTATATGGTCCCCATAAATCACAGTGTATCATATCAAATTTATCAACAGGTTGATAAAAACTTATAGGAGAACTCCCACGAGTCTGTTTAGCACGCAAACAAATGTCACAACAACTGTGACTACTCTTACTTGTTCCAACTCCAGGATCAAGAGACAAAACATGAGAGGAAGGATGTCCAAGTCGTTTGTGCCAAAGATCAAACTTACTCTCCTTCTTTGCACTGCACACCATCTTCTTTTCTGGCTCCTTGAAGTAATAAAGTCCTCCTTCCTGCTCACCCATACCAATTTCTGTCCTTAAATACAGATCATGTAGTATACACTTATCGTTGGCAAAACGTGCCTCACAGTTCGAATCCCTTGTCAATTGTGACACAGAGATTAAATGGCAACTCAAAGTGGGACATATAGGACATCGTGCAGAAGTAGTGTTTCTGTTAATTTAATCTTCCCAGATTGTACAGAAATAATTCTTTTCCCATTGGGCAAACCAATCTCACATGGTGATATTCCCATGACGACATGCAATAACGAAATATCACCAATCATATGATTTGATGCCCCAGTATCTATAATCCAACGCGGTGACACAGGAATACCTGAAAGCTTCATACTAGAAACACACGATGATAGGGAGAAAAACATCTTCCTTGGTTGTTCATCGGCCATGGCGGTAGCAGAGTGGCATACGGCGGTGGCAGAAGAATCAAAAGCAGCATCTATCACACAATCTGCCGACGAGACGGTCGACGTGCTCGACCGTTCAAGAGCAACGGTCGACCGTTCCATTGTCCGGCAACAACAACAAATGACTGAAACTGAGCAACCATCGATGGACGCCATGCCGGGCGATCGTGAATAGTAGTCGCTGAAAAACTCTAGGGTTTTGGCTCCAATACCATGTAAGAATTATTTGGGAGGAAATTCTCTGTATTTCTCTCTTGTCTTTACAATTTACAATGAGGACATATATATAGGATCTCACAAGTTGAGACTCCTAATAAATAAAGAAAAAGGAAAAGGAAAGAATCCCTATACAAGGAAAACTACCAAAACAATATATACACAAATATCTCCAAATATTCTACCAAATATTCTCTTTCCTTTAACACCTACTCTTTTCAATTGTTATCGTTTTACCTTGCTCAAACTTCTACATTTTCTTTTTTGAAAAGTCAAAACAGGACGAGATAAAATAGTCAAGTAAATTAAATAAAAGTTAGCGCAATGATGGAGATCGGGTCCACGAGTTTGATTGGATAAGTTGGCCTGATTGGCCCAAGCCTGAAAGGTTGCGGATGTACAATGAAAGCAAGAAGGGGCCGATAAAAAAAGGACTTCGGCTTGTGAGAATCTTCTAGATTAAGAGAGATTATATTGTAGAGTTGTTCTCCCGTGATCCTATGGTCCGCATGTAAAATGTAGACATTCTCACAATTTTTATGGGCTAACAAGTGGATTTTTTCTTTTTGTCAAAGGACCAATTCTTTTACAATATCAATGCACTAAAATTCATAACACGAGCATGGATCTTAGGACCACGGAAGAATTACCATATATTGTAATTAGCAAACTTGAAAAGTGAGGTGCAAGAATATATATAATCCTTGATCCGATTGTATTGAGATTTTGATGACCAGTGTGCCTCTCCATGATATGTCTAAATTAAATAGCCACTCCCACTTAAGGGAGGGAGGTCTGAAATTTATTAAATACACAATTTACAGCAATACTCTAAAAAATTTCAGATTTTACTAGAATACTCTGAAAATCAATTAATTACACCATTATTCCTACAATTGCTCTATTTTTACAAAAAGCACTCTATCCGCCACCTCACATGCAGAATCATATTGTGTTATATCTACATTAATTTTAAACGAATGACTTCACTTTTTTCTAGTTTTCGTACAAAAAAATAAATTATTATTCCTCCTCCAACTCAAATATCATTCTCAGCTCCTACTTAAGAGTTTGTTCTTTTGGGATTGGAAAAGTTAACTTCCAACTTTTTCTAACTCTTTTCAATTTTTTCCAAGTCCTTACAGTTTTTTTCAACATCAAACTTTAGAATTCCAACCGAAAATGGCATGTCCTGATTGTGAGGGGCGTGATTGATATTTGAGTTGCAGGACGAATAAGTAACTTATTTATTTATGAAAACCAAAAAAGTAATTTTTTTCAAATCGTCATTTTGGAAATCTATTTAGATATTATATACTCCCTCCGTCCCAAATTATAATGCATGTTCACTATTTACAGGGTCAAACTTCATACACTTTCTTTCTTTATTTTCGTTATCAATTTGATAAAACAAAGTACTATTGTCGCTACTAGTTTTGTAGATCTTTTGATGTAGGATTTTAATATGTAATTTTTATTTTTTAACTCTATACCATTTGTCATATAAAATGATTTGAACAGTCAAACATCTTAAACCAAAACAGATATTATAAATTGAGACGGAGGGAGTAATTTTATTGTGCAAGTGAGGTGGTGGGTGGAGTTATTTTGTAAAGGAGAGTTATTTTGTGAGTAATGGTGTAATAAATTGATGTTGAGAATAATCTTGTAAAATTGGAAATTTTTTGAAGTATTGCCGTGAATTTTTCTAATGTGAAATTAATTTTAATTCTAATTTTCTTGATTGAATTTTGATATCCTTTCCGTATATTTGGAATAGGAAGAATTCTTTCGTGGACCTAAGGCCCATGCTCATTTTATGGTAGTATAGACCTGATCAAAGTGTCGATCGGGCCAGGTTTCGGGTCGAGCCAAGACGCTACATTACGAAAATTCTTTAGGTCCAAGCCCGGCCCGTATAGCGGGCAAAACAATTGAAGTCCGAGCTTGACCCGCACAGATACTTGCGGGCTTCGGGCCGGCTCGGTCCACATGACAAAAACTTCTAAATAAATACAAAAATATTTTTGGTTTGTAATAGTCATTACTTGAAGAATAATTATGTATATCTATTACTCGAGGAATAAATATGTATATAAGTGCATAGGGTTTACAAACCAAATTAAAATTTGGTTTGTAATAGTCAAAAAATTTAAGTTGGTTTGTAAATCGAATTTGGCATGTTTTTAGTGAAAATAATTTTATTTTCTATGAAGTACTTTGAAAATTATTGTTCTTTTATTACTTTTATGTTTCCATTTGTCTTTTTATTTTCAATTTATCTTTTTCCTTATCTAACAACCCAGCTGTTCTTATTTTCTAAAAATATTGGGTAGAATTTCCTCAACAAATTAATGTTGATATGGTTTTGAAGTTTTTTAACTCACTGAATGTAGAAAATAATAAAGACAAAATATATATGTATATTCCAAAAGTTCTGACAAATAAAAAGATACGTAGCTTCAATGTCCAATGGAGTTTATTAATTGAGCATCAATCATAAAGAGAAGCCATTGTCCAAAAGACATTTGCATTTTGGAAATCATGCAAGTTCAATGGCAGAGGATGTTCATTCAACACTCATAGTATATCTTCAAGTATCAACGGGTAATCACCGCAAGGTAAAAGCAAATGTTTGTCTTTCCATTGAAAATTGTGAAATATTCGAGTGAGTCGAGAACAACGGGTAGAGTGTTAGGTAAAATTAGTTACTTGCATATAAAGTCTGGATTCACTATTCTAATCCAAAAGTTTAAGCTGATAGATAGGGTTTCACCCTTCTATATATGCTAGTAGCATTCTTCTTTATTTTCCAATATGTGAACTCAACACTCTCCCTCAAGTAGTAATTAGCCTGATCTAGTTATCACTTGGACAAACGGGTCTAGCATGTCAATCTCTTATAGCTAACTCACACAACATGCGGTGACATCTCAATCTCTTTTTAGCCAACTCAACCCAAACCACGGACGGGTAACTCATTTTTTTGCTAAACCCAAGTCCAACAACCAAGAAGAATCAAACTCGGATCAGACCTTTTCCGATATCATGATAGAATTTAGGATGGATTAAGGATAACTGGATTGGGCAAAAAGTCACTTAAGATGAACCATATTAAAAGATTGAATCCAATGGATTATTTAGTTCAATTCAAGAGCTTATATATCAATTTATTTTCTCTTCAAGTTCTGATATGGGATACTCTTTAACAAAAATCAAGTAAAAGAAATCAAGATAAAACTTTAGTGTGAAAGACTTCGCACATCACGTGGTTTTCGTGTTCCTTTGTTATGTGGGCTTCTTAGAAAATGTCTCTAAACATGCGTTTGAGCCATTTTTAGTCAATACAAATTGGCATCCTTTGACAAAGTGTTGATTGGTAGAAGTAGAACTAGAGCTGGCAAATCGGTCAGTCAGGTCGGGTTCAGGTTCGGTCACTTCAAGTTCAGTTTATTTTGGGTTCGGGTAAATTCGGGTTCGTGTTGAGAACTGTGTAACACCCCGGCCCCCACCCTAGCCGTAAGTGTCCGCTCATAGGATTGTATACTGGCCCCACAAACCAACACAAGTCTTTCCCGCCCACTTTGTCCTCACTCGTGCGCGCCCAAGGAATTTCTCAGGGGGTCACCCATCCTAAAATTGCTTCAGGTCAAGCACGCTTAACTTTAGAGTTTCTAGGTGATGAGCTCTCGAAAAGAAGATGCACCTTGTTGGTATGAGTAGTACTATCAATCCTTTTGAGCTCTTCTCATTCCCATCTTGATACGGGGTATTACAAACTGTATGTTCATGACCCAGTATCATCGGGTTCGGGTTGACCCAACGGGTTATGACTTTGGTTTTTAAAATTTTTAAATTCACATTAACACTTACATTTTGTATTAAATAAATTTAAAATATCAAAAAATATGTATTAAATCTATTAGGTTGTTTTATTTTAAATTCTGAAATAATTTTTAGATGTACAAATCAATATAAGAAATTTAAAAATGCCTATCTTTAAAAAAAAGTAAGATAATTATGAATATCATTAAAATTTTATTTGAAAATATAAATTTATACAGTAGAAATGAGTAGTAAAGTGTGAGAATTTGAAAAACTCTTACTATAGCAGGTCGGTCAGGTCGGATTCAGGTTCGGTCAGGTTTGACCCATTTTTGGCGGGTCATTTCGGATTCGGTCAACTTTGGGTTCGGTCATCAAAACCTTTGTTCAAAGCTCACCAAAGACCACTACAAAACTCACTAAACAGTAATGCAAAGTTCACCATATTTTTTCAACACTTTGATTTTTTTTTGAAAAAAAATCAAAGGAATTAGTGCTGACTAGACTTTGACCATTGACCGTTGACCATCACCGCCACCGACCTCCGCCACCCACCGCCGACCTCCGCCTCCGCCGGTCACCGGCCGCTGGCGACCACCTCCGCCGCTGCCAGTTTCCGTCGGCGACCACCTCCATCGCCGCCGCCGCCGACCTCCGCCGGCGACCACCTCCGCCGCGCTGCCGCCACTGAACGGTGGTTGACCAGTGTTGCTATTTTATTTTTTATTAATTTTTTAATTTTCAAAATAAAAAAAAGTGAGTTTTGGTGTACAAAGTGGTGAGCTTTGTAGTGTAATATTGTGAGATTTGTGTCATCTCATCGAAGCATGTCGTCTCACCATAAAGTGTCATCTCACTGGAGTCAATCTCTATACACACACACACTCTCTCTCTCTCTCTCTCTCTCTCTGCGTCCCTAAATATATCTCACATTTCTATTACCGAGGTAAAATATCAATTTTTTTCAATTCATTTTATTTACATATTGGTAAAGAAATAAAAAAATAAAATTTACATATCAAAAAACTACATGAAAAGTTTTTCAAAACAAGAGGTGTCAAAAAATTTTTATTTTTATCAAAAAACCAATGAAAACATAGAAATAAACAAAAGTTATCGTGACTGCTGAAAAAACAAATGTGACATATATTTAGGGACGGAGGGAGTATGTATATTGTGTGTGTGTGACATAATGTGACATAAAATTTGAGAGTTAG